CCCGCACTCGTTTTTTTTTTTACCTATTTTAATTTTGGGTCCTCTACTTGATGGAGGTCTTTCAGAGAGTAGATCACTTTCAACGGATTCCCGACCAATTTCGAAGCGTCGACACCAAAATCTTATCTCATCTCCTCATCTTGAATTATTGCCGGGTGCTTTCTTAGTACTTTGAATAGAGTCTGAGGAGGAATTGAAAAGAACTTGATGCATCTTCGTTGTGAATAAGAAGATCACATAATGTTCAATCAATAGTGATTCACTAACACCAAAAGAGAATGTCCGTTTACAATGACATGCCTGCAGCCTCATAATGAAAAAGCATTCATTTACACAAAAATAATTGTTTATCAACGCACTTAATTGAATGTGGAGTTTTACTCACACATTAATAATATAGTAAAAACTGATTTCTACTCTACGTGACTATCATGTGTGTAGATAGATATATTTACCAAAATTACACAAGAATATCTTTAAATACGAAAGAGTAAATTTATTCAATAAAATCGCTATTGCCTTCAACCAAGGCCTCCAAACGACTTCGGAATCTCTTGCAACTCTTCTGGGCGATCTTCTAGTTTAAGTTAGTGAGTGGTTCCATAATCCTTGCCTTCAATTCATCTGTGATGTCACCCTCTTGACCCAGAACAGCACTACTTCCTTGTTGTAGACCTCCGTGTTGAATCTGAGGCACTCACCATGAAATTTGGGAGTTCTTTTTTTTATCAGAACGATCAGAGTAAGTTTTGGTAATCCCCATTAGACTCGCCCAACTCTTTCCGAATAAAATTTCGAGTGGAGTAAATTCTGCCATGGTGCTCCTTTTCTCACAGACGGTGCCCAAATCAAAAACAAACAACGCTCAAACAATGCGCATAAATTATATAATTTACCCATCGCAGACTCTCTCTCTCTCTCTCTCTCTCTATATATATATATATATATATATATATATATATATGGATGGAATATGATATATAAACTCTATGAGACTAATGCTTGGCAAATGAATGACAGAATGAAAAAATCTTTTGCAATACGTTTCGTTCTACGAACGGACTTCGTCAGATATTTTATTGATGGCATCATATATATATATATATATATATATATATATATATATAGAGTGAGAGAGAGGGAGGGGTGGAGGAAAGGAACTGTAAAACAACATCGGTTATGATTACACATCGAGAGTAACACTGAAGATACAGTAACGCATAACTTCAAATTTTTAAACTTATGGTTTTTGCTATGATTTTTTTTCATTCATCTTTCTATTGTTTTTGCTTTTGTTTCGTTTGTTTTTTTTTTCACTGTTGTTTTTAAATAACAGTTGTTTTGTTAAGAAAGGAGATATGTTGTATGAACCTGAATATATATTTATCACTGAAGACGTAAATTCATGCGAGTCTTATATATATCTAGCTTTAAAATTACTTCCACTTTCACTCTTACTTAAAACGGCATTTTTAATCCAAATTATAGCTCGACTATGAAAAAGTAATGTGTTCAGTGTGTTGTTCTCTCAAAGACCCTTCTTTTGAATTCATCTGTTCTTTTATTTAAATTCCTACACGTTTTCAATGCTGTATTTGTTGACAGCTTGATTTTACACACACACACACGCGCGCGCGCGCGCGCACACACACAATCGTCTATAATACACGATCACCGTTAAAAATAAAACCATCATCACCGCCATAATCACATACAGAAACCCTTTAAGTAATGTGATGATGTAGGCCTCAGACTGGTAGAAAAATAAATGCACGTATACTTGTGTGTATGTGTGTGTGAAGAAGTGATATTCCATTTGACGGTCGGCCGATCTGAATAGAGCCAAAAACACCCTAGCCCGCCCCTTGTTTGAAAGAACTTCGCTACTCACGTTCTGAACACAATTGCGTATGTATGTGTGCTCGAATAAATGGATATATATGTGTGAACTATTATGCGTACACCTGTATGTATGCATGTATCTATGTATATCTGCGGGCGTATAAGTGTCATCCCAAAACGGACACAGAGGAAAATTTTCTTCGCCCCCACCAAACATAATCAAACACAAAATAACATAAATAGATTCAATTTTAAAAAATAAATCAATTAGTCTGATGAGCTCAAAGGTGAAACCCAGAGTTACAAAGTCATATCCATACGACTGAATATATATATATATATATATATATATATATATATATATATATATATATATATATATAATAAGGAAGTTAATGGTCAGAGTTGAATTAGACCAGAAAACAGTAGTATTAAAAACGTGCTCAGTACACATATAAAAAGATAAGAATTTAACATGTAGTTCTTTTAAGTATAGAAAAGTAGGAAATCAGCCGATTCCGCTATCTTGGTTTCAACTTTTCGATATCTTCAGGCTATTTCGGTTAATTTCCGAACGCTTTATTTTTTTAAATTAAAAATTTATTTCTTTTCAAAAGATAAGTAAATGAATAAGCCCACGACGTCAGGAGGATGAGGAAGAGGAGGGGAAATCAAGTTTATTGGAAATGTATCGGTGTGGTTGAGTGAAATATACATATGTTCTTTTTATCCAACTTCAAATGAACTCAAAAGGAACTTTTTAGTATGAATACAACGGAACATAATTTCCGATCTCTGGTTTAAAAGATTTTTGGTCTGGAAATGTTATTATAGTTAATTTCTCTTGTTGACAAAGGTTTCAGATGTTGCTATGATTGTTGTAAGGTTTACCTTTTTTTTTAAATTTTCCAGTTTACAATCAGATTTTTTTCAAAAATTTTCTCCTTTAATTTCCACGCCTGGTTGGCTAGTTTAGTAGAATTTCTAAGGCTTTCTACCTTAAAAGATGACTTATGATTGGACCACCTCTTTTTTAAGTTACCCTCAGTACACCCTATATATATTTTTCTGGTCATTTGTATCTATTACTTCTGCTTTGTAAATTACTGCTTCAGTTTTGCTAACTCCATCTAATGGACATCTTTTATTTCTGCAGTTGCATATATTATTGTTAACAATGTTTTGCTGCACTTTAGTTTTGAAATTTCTGTCGTATTGTCATTGTGGTTTCTAAATTACTAGCACAGTGTAGCTTAATTTAAATTTATTATTCTTATTTTAATTTATTAAATATTTTATGTTATTCGGAGTTTTGGGGAAGTGTTTATTAAGTAATTTGAAAAATATTTTCCCTATTTTATATTTGACCTCTAAGTTAAAAGGTGGGGGTGGTTAAACAAAGTAATTTTTTTCTTTTCCTGTTCTTCATTTGTTGTTTTATTTGGGGTTTAAATTCCAGTTTGGTTTTATGCCCCTCTTTTTTTAAAGTCCTTTCATATTCTTTCTTTTTATCTTTGAAAATTATTTTACTAGAGGAATTTCTGGTTAACCTGAACTCTATTTCTTTGGGGGGAATTGCTTTATTATACTTGCAGGTTGATTGCATCTATAATTCACGTATTTTCATTTTGTGTTAGGTTTTATGTATGGAGAGATACTGCCAGTTTGTAGATTTAATTCTACATCCAAATATTTGACGATTTTCTTCTTCATATCGACTTCTATTTCAACCTCAGGGCTTTTGAAGAGTTTGAAAAGCGCTATTCTTATATTTTCATCTGTTGCTGGCACTGTCATCAGTCCGTCATCCCTATACAGGCCGTGGTTGTTTATATGTACAATTTTGTTGATTTCATCTCTATCTATAAAAGGCAGGATGTGCGTGTGTGTGTGTGTGTGTGTGTGTGTGTGTGTGTAACGAATGCACGGCCGCAATTTTCGACGGATTTGCACCAAAATTTACATGCACATGCTCCAGGTTAATGGAAAGGTCAAGACCAAATTTGCATTTCCCAACTCCCATCGATAGTGGAAATAATCGATTTTTCATGCTTCTACGGCAGTTTTCATGTAGTTTGCGACCATTTTGTACTGGCCAGCGTGAGAGCCTATAGCTGGCTGCCACGAATAGGCAGGAAGATTCTATTGGCTAGCGTGAGAGCCAACAGCTGACTGATATGAATGTTAACTAGCATGCAAAAAAATCGATAGCTGCATTCGTCACAAGTGGGAAAAATTTAAATTTGCATGGCACTTTACTCCATTTGGCTCATTCGCTTGCTTAAACTCAACGTTGATTCTGATTCCGCAAAACTGGGTTGGGTGTGAAAAAGTATTTGTTGTTAACATTCTTTTTTCATTCGGTTTTTCCAGTTACGAGTCCTTTTTTTACAGCTGATCGTTTTGTGTTTATTTTGTTTAGTTCTTTTTTCGTAACAGATTTAATGTTTAGTATAGAGCTTAGAAAAAATTCGCAGTGTGAGATAGGCAAGAAGTAAGGCATGTAGCAACATCAGCACGACAAAGGGCACTCCTTTAAAGGCAAGGAAGGGCAAGAATATTTTAAGTCAAATGATAGCGATTGCTGTATGAGTCGTACGATTTTTTAATCAAGCACGGGCAACGCCGGGCCATGCTGCTAGTATAAAATATGTTGGCCTATAAATTCTGAAACCTTAGCACCATCAAACGAACCTTGCAGTACATGGAAGTCATCCTGTTTTGATTTTTTAATCCAAGTTTATCCATTGTGGAATAAAATTGATTTACGACAATGTAAAATAATGTCCATTTGTTCAAGTGTTATATTTACGAATACTTTGGAGAAGTACAAAGCCTCGGGCAGGCCTTTTTTTAGATATAGATAAATAAAAGTTTTTAATGTTATATTTTATAAATACATATCTCTCTTTGTTTGTAATTTTGTGGAGCCAAGAAATGCGGTCACCTGTATCCATCATTGAGTGGCTTGTGTAGCGATCCTTAATGGGTACATTTTTTTTTTTTTTTTTTTTTTGCTCATTTTACCCAATTCAGTTTTGGTTGAGTTCAAAAGAAGGATTATTGGGGAATTCATCTCTATGGTCGTCTATAGTTAGAAATGCTTGATTACAGCATAATATATTCACCTTGTCAATTATATCTAGTTTGGCTGCGATATGTTTCATCTCCTCATTTATACTTTTAATGCACGAGTTTGGTGCTTTTTTGTAAGTTTTAGTGACTTCGTTTATTTTTCTGGTAAGTCTCCGGGTTTATGGTATAAATGTTCTTTGTTTTGTCTCCTTTAACTTGGATGTTTTTAGTTCTTTTTATTTTTAAACTTGTATTCGAAAAAAACTTTTCATATATATATATATATATATATATATATATAAATGAACATAGAATTCAACACACTGTTTTATGCTGGATGCAATCGTCAGGTGGCCTCACGATTGCGTCTAGCATGAAACAGCCTGTCGCCTTGAGTGTTGACTTCTATGTTCACTTTTATATTTACACACGCTCTATCTCTGATATTAAGCACTTTGACCCATAAATATAGCACACCCTAAGATTATATTTCTTCATATATATATATATATATATATATATATATATATATATATATATATATATATATATATATATATACAGGGGAAACAAATATTCGTACACATACAAATTTATTGTATTTCCAACTAATGAAAAAACATACTTTTCATATATTTAACTGTACACAGATGCATAATAACTAAATATGCATAGAAAACAGAAAAAAATGATTTAATAGAAATGAATCCCATTTATCCATTTTAATGAGTGAAAAAGTATTCGTACAATGCAAATTTCAGATTTTAAAACTTTTAAATTGCTTTAATACTCTACATTATTCAAGTGGAATATTTTAGAATGTTTCAATAATGTCATCAGTAGTTATTTTTAACCTAAAAAGTACAAACAAAATATTCTGCAATTGATATTCGTGCAAGTAGGTTTTCATCATGACAAGAGGTAAAGAACTGACTAATTCTCAAATAGGACTGATTGTTAAGCACTGGAAAAAAGGTAAAAGTTACAAGAAAATCTCAGACAACCCGAATATTCCATTTACTACCATTCGTTCATGTTGAAAACCAAAGAAGGTTTTTGAAGGTTGTAGTTACCAGGAATCTACCTATCTATCTATCTATCTATCTATATATATATATATATATATATATATATATATATATATATATATATATATATTAGGGTCATATCAGTTTATCTTTCTATCTAACTAGTCATAGCTATCTCTCTGGTCATTATCTATTTATTATTTATTTTTATTTATCTGGTTATATCTATCTACCTGGTCATATCTATCTATCTATCTATCTATCTATCTATCTTGTCATATCTGTCTATCTATCTGTTCATATCTATCTACCTATCGATCTATCGAACTCTCTTTTCATATCTATCTATCTATTGGGTCATATCTATCTATCAAACTCTCTGGTCATATCTATCTGGTCATTATATATCTATCTGTTCATCTCTCCCTATCTCAGTCTGGTCATATCTATCGTTTTATCATAGCCTGATTTGAATTACCGAGATTTCTATCTTAATGTATTTACCTTCTTCTCCGTTTTTGTCTCTTGTCATATACAGTAGCGTCCAAAACTAAGGGACAAAATTTTAAAACCTAATATTTGTTAGAAATAACAACTGTGAAAAGCTGAAATTTTGACAACTGGTAGTCGTTATCACCCATAATAACATACTAAAATTTGAATCATTTGCAAAGGATAGAAAAAGAATTATAACAATTATTTATTTATTTTCAAATTTGGAACGTCCAAAAAGTAAGGGACAAAATTGAGAAAAACAATGTAAACGGCAAAAAAACAATAAAAATACATGTACAATCAATATTTAGTAAATGAGCCCTTGCTCTCAATGACAGCTGCACATCTTCGACTACAAGAACGAATCAGTTCTTGACAATCATCGATACTAATTTTAGACCATTCTTCTTGAAGCTTCACCCACAAATCCTCCGTGTTAGTGGGATTTCTTTCCATAACTTTCACTCCTAAGGTCTTCCAAAGATTTTCTATTGGATTTAAGTCAGGACTTTGCGGTGGCCAATCCATAATTTCCAAATGTTGCTCGCTAAGGTAACTCATTACCACCTTTGCCTTGTGACATGGGGCATTATCTTGCATAAAGGTAGCCCTATCGAAACCTGAATTCTGTATGATTGGCACAACATGATCTTGAACAATGTTTTTATAGATCTGTGCGTTTACGCGAGTTTGTAACCGGACAAGAGGCGTTGTACCTTGGCTAGAAAACATTCCAAATACCATGACGCTTCCGCCCCAAAACTTGACACTTTTCTTAGTACACTTTGCACTTAATCTTTCACCAATACGTCTCTTTACATTGTTTTTTTTCATCATTTCCAAATAAATTAAACTTGCTTTCATTACTGAAAAATACTTTTGCCCAATTTTCATATGTCCAAATTACATACCTGTTTGCAGACTCTAATCTCTTCTTATTCTTCGAACTAACAAGTGGTTTCTTCCCTGGGGTTCGATTAAACAGCCCTATTTCTTGCAGTCGTCTACAAACAGTCTGTCTTGACACATTAACACATGAGGTACTATTCATAATCCTTTTAATTTCTGTGCAAGACTTAAAACGGTCCTTTAATGACATACGCTGCATTATTCGATCTTCTCTTGCCGAAGTTTTGCGGGGTCTGCCGGTTTTAAAAGCACTAACTATTTTGCCAGTATCATTGTAGGATTTAACAACCCTGCCTACAACACTCTTGGAACGTTTCATTTTCTCTGAAATCTCTCTAATGGTGTGCTTTTCCTTGTGTAGCTTCACAATAGCTTGTCTCACAGAGTAATCAAGTTTTTGGCGTTTCGCCATGGTGCCGGCTGATGCAACGTTTACAAATGACTAAGCAAGACTTATTCTTTAGAGGAAATCAAAAATTTGAATATAGCATACTGTTTACATTGTTTTTTCTCAATTTTGTCCCTTACTTTTGGACGATCCTATTTTGAAAATAAATAAATAATTGTTATAATTCTTTTTCTATCCTTTGCAAATGATTCAAATTTTAGTATGTTATTATGGATGATAACGACTACCAGTTGTCAAAATTTCAGCCTTTCACAATTGTTATTTCTAACAAATATTAGGTTTTAAAATTTTGTCCCTTAGTTTTGGACGCTACTGTATATTTCTCTTTCTTTCTGCCTCTCCCCTCTCTCTCTCCTCCTATATACGTGAGTGTGTGTGTATGTGTGTCAGTTTGACTATCTTGCATAAGTATAAAATATTTATATCATTCATATTGATTTCAGTCGTTTAATTCTGTGTCGTGACTACAATTTGTTTCATATTAAACATTTACTACATCTCCCTCTCTCTATATCGCCACTCTCTTTTTTCTCCCTTTTCTTTATTTCCCGCTCTTTGTATTGAGGCACACACAACCTCAGACATACACACACACAATATATATATATATATGTGTGTGTATGTATTTCCATGTCACGCACTTAATATATATATTTGTAAATAGAAATTTCCTTTTCCTTTACTCATCCTCATTATATATTTAATACCTTTGAGGACTTTACCACCTACCTTTAAAAGTTTTGCTGAGGGAACGAGGTTCTAACCCTGAAGACAGAAAGTATCACCTCATGACATTATCGACAGCAGAGAACAACGAAACCTTCACAAATGCCAACTCATAAGGCATGCGTAACATCGGAGAGCACAAATTTGTTGACACTTAAAGCGATGTTAGGGTAAGAGAATATTATTCACTTCGAAAATTATAATCTTATTCTTTTCAAAATTGAAGATTGATATATACAAAGCTCTTCTTTGTTGATGTAGATATCCTGAATTTAATGAGACTTGAATCAGTTATGGAATTTACTACTCGTATGCTAAATCCGTATTTAATATACAAATTCTATAAAATATATATTTTAATATACAATGTCTATAAAATATACCTTTTAATATACAATGTCTATAAAGTATACTTTTTAATATACAATATCTATAAAATATACATTTTAATATACGATATCTATAAAATTTCTGCGAAGCTTTAAAATATCTTGTTTATATTTTTATTTATTTTACTTAATTTATTTTTTAAATGAAATAAATCTGGAGAAATGACCTATTAGAATAATATATTCTAATGATTTTCGGGAATTTGGCTAAAATTTAGGCGGTGCGTGAGGTAATTGAGAACAAATTATAATGTAAAGAAAAACAAAGATATTCAATAAAAAGAAAAATCAGCAAACTTGGACCTTTGTGCCCGCAAAAAATACAGAGTGCCAAAAGAATGGCTTTCCCTTTGACACCGCTATTATTTTAACTACCTTCACTCCTCAACAATGTTTATTGTTTTAAAAAGCGATGATTAGAATTGGAATAAACCTAAACGTATGATGAAAGGGAATTTACTTCACAATATTAACGTTCTCGTTATTTATACGCACACTGACACTACTCGGGAAACTCTTAGCACATATTAAAGCGGCGATTTGGACACTCCTATGTGGTGTAATGGTTAACAAGTTTATCTCGCTAGATCAATTACAACTGAATGTCACATTCTTTCGACCACGTGCAACATCTAAGTTACGCTTATAAAACCCTCATATTAAAGCGGCGATTTAAATATCCATTGATCATGAGACGTGTTTTACATACATGACTCAGTTTTAACATTACTAAAACGACTTGACAATAATTAACTTCAGTGAGAACATTTCTAAACTATAATGAACTTCCTTCTTGTAATCTTCAGTTCAACACACTGCAATAAGGATTAAAGTTATTATTATTACTTGGTTTATATTCTTATTCTTTAAGCCTCTTTAAGCACTACTCCTCACATGAGATGTAAACTTCTTCTTCTTCTTACTGTTGTTGTTATTGTTGTTGCTGTACCGTATCCCCTCAGGGTGTAGGCGAATATAATACGAAAGAAAGAAAGGGAAACTGAGATGGTGAATATAATAAGAAAAAAAGAAAGAAAGAGGAAACGAGATGGTGAATATAATAAGAAAGAAAGAAAGACGAAACGAGATGGTGAATATAATAAGAAAGAAAGAATGAAAGAAAGAATGAAAGAAAGAAAGGAAGAATGAAAGAAAGAAAAGGGAAACGAGATGTTGAATATAATAGGAAAGAAAGAAAGAAAGACGAAACGAGATGGTGAATATAATAAGAAAGAAAGAATGAAAGAAAGAAAGGAAGAATGAAAGAAAGAAAAGGGAAACGAGATGTTGAATATAATAGGAAAGAAAGAAAGAAAGACGAAACGAGATGGTGAATATAATAAGAAAGAAAGAAAGAAAGAAAGAAAGAAAGAAAGAAAGGGAAACAAGATGTTGAATACAATAGGAAAAAAGAACTACACTGTGACTGATTTCTAGTGTGACCGTTTCTTTTTCTTTTATGTGACGTGTCTCTTCAGGACGTTAGCGATCATGGCTCGCCATAATTTCCTGTCCTTTGTAGCTCTTAAAATTTTTTTATCTTTTTGCTATTTCTACCAAACCCTGTTTCGCCATCCATTTACTCAATCTCACTAAGTAGGTTATGAATTCTTTTCCTCTGTCTTCTGTCCTGTGAGTATCAGATTTTCCAACCCCACTTTCTTCATTATGTACCCTAGAAATTTCATCTGTCTCTTCCTGATGTTAAGTATAAGTTTCCCTTTTTGTTTTAATTTTCTCTAGAACATCGTCGTTGCTCACGTATTCGGTTCATAATATCCTTCTGTTGCTTCGAGTCTCTACTTTTTCTTTAAGAAGATTGTCCTGTATCCACTGCCATATAGGAGAACAAATATCACATAACAGTTATTTTCTTTGTTTCTAACGAAGTTTTCTTCTTTCTTATTATTCTGCTTAGCTTTGGAAAGGCATCTTTTGATATCCCAATGCACATTCGGATTTCAGTATCACATTTTTCTTTCTCTGTTAAAACAATTTCCAGATATTTAAATTCTTTTACTTGTTTGATTTTGGTATTTCTGATTTGTAATTTACCTTTTGGTTTCATTGTTTTGCTAGCGTAAATATCAAACTGGTTTAATCCGTCACTCACAAAATATTAACTACAGGGTGCGACAGAAATAACCCAACATTTTAAACTGTCACCTGTGTGGTGCTATTGAACTTAGGCAAATGGCAATGGTGTCTTCATCCAGCAAATGTCTTGCAATTTTTGTCTCATACGATCAGTTACTATACTGGATTTAACTGGCGCACATCGTGCGTTTGCTGTTGAAACGTTTCTAAGACTGGTGAATCTATAATTGCAACACAGAGAGCTTTTCGTACTCATTCCATATTACGTCGGAATAATGCTGCTCCGGAGAGAAAATCGATATTGCTATGTGTTGAAAATTTCAGGACCACAAGTTAAGCGCTTAAAAGAAAGTCACCTAGATAATCTCGCGACTTCCGGGTGATGGAAAACTTTAGAAATCATCTTCAATAATGGATGGCAAACAGAGACCGCCATTTAGAGGATGTGATTTTTTTAAACAAAATGAAAGGAAACTGTACTCTATTGTTTGAGCAAGTGATTTTTTTTTAATAGCAATTGCGTTGGTCTTTTTTGTCAAACTTTAAAATGTGGGATGTATTTGTGCCGCACTCTCTTCTACACTGTCCATGGAATCATATTTTAACAACAGTATGATCACCAAACCAGCGGTTGTAGATTGATGTGGCAATTTAAAAAAATCCGAAATTATAGCAACATCAATTTTGTCCGAATTAATAAATTTTTAGTTTGGTTTTTGCTTTACGGCATATCAACCTCAGTGGGTTATTTAATGCCGACAAAATTTTTATTGATGGTAATATTTTTTTTTTTTTTAAATTTATTGCTGGTAATAATTTTTCTTCAAAAATTTATTGCTGGTAATAATTTTTTACAAAGTATTTCTGGTATTAAAACCTATTTTTACACTTACATAGTTTTTGACCCCATGTTTGTGGAGGGGGGGACTATGGCTGAGACCCTGACAGGTGCTACCACCCCGGGTCAGAGTGGACATGGGAACACCAGCAATTAAGAGGTGGATCCACGCTCCTCAAAACCTCCTGGTAAGAGGCCTTGCTGTTGGACGTAGTTTATCATCTTACCTAGGACGCGGATGTAGTTTATCGTCATACCCAAGACCGCCGAATTAATAGAGGAATATGAAAGCCTGATTGACAATGACCAACATTTAATAAAGTTAAATACAGTACTTTAAAGCCGGTACTATGTTATCACTTGATACTTGACAAAAGAACGACGTATAATCCCAACTAAATCAATCGAATTGAAACAGTGATTCACAAAGATCAATGTTGAAGTATCGGTGGAGTTAATTTGACAATCAAAAATTGTTTTTTTTTTTAAAAACAAAAAAACAACTGAGATCAAAGATGATTCCACTTTGTAATATTTTGTTTTTGTGTTAAAATCAACGTACACTCTTTGTTACATTCAGGTTACAGTGATTATACCACCCTTACTATCGATCAAAACTGTCTCACATCAATCACATCCAGATAGGCCGAAGCTAAAAATCCAGTATTGAGTTTAATGCTACATGTGTAACGCAGTTTCAAACATTACATCCCATTAAAACAAATAGTTCGTTGTTTCCAGGGAGAAGGATGCGAGATAATCAATTTCTACCTTTTCCAACTCGTCTCAGAGATTCCCTCCATTTCTGTGTGGAATATTTAAAAATTTATATTTTTTCGGAAAAAATGTCAGTTTCCTTGTTTCGGCCACACTTGTAGTGATTTATGATTATTTTTTATTATTAGACATACGATCTCATTACATTAAAACACCGATTCCCGTAAAATCACCGAAGTTAAGCAACATTGAGTATGGTCAGATGGATGGCTGCTTGGGAATAACAAGGGCTGTTAGCTTTGATGTGCGGATGGGATAATAGATAAGAGATCGAAATTGTTAATCGGAGAGCCGAGTTCGAATTCCCGTTGCGTTCGTTATATTCTCTTACAAACAAATACACTTGGGGAAGGCATGAATCCACCGTTTCTTTCCTCAGTTATTGATTAATTAGTAAGACTTATATCACTAAACCATTCTTATCCCCCCCGTCACCCAAAATTCTTAAAATCCCAAAAACATTTCCTGCCTTTAAATAACCTGCAAATATTTTCCTGGCTTTAAATAACCTGCAAATATCAATTTATACACACACACACAGTCATATATATATATATATATATATATATATATATATATATATATATATATATATATATATATATAGCTTAAATTCTCTCACACACACACGCATATATACAAATTCACACACACAAATTACACACATATATACACACACACACACACACACACATATATATATATATATATATATATATATATATATATATATATATATAAATTCATATATAAATATATATATACTGTCAGACAAAAACGACCATACCTCATTCATTGTCACTTAAATTACTTTATTCCCATACTAATATGCGAAATTAAATTTAGCAGGTCAAAATGGCTATGCTTAAATTTTTATATACATTAATTTGCTGCCAGATCATTGGCTGATTCAAAAGTTGTATTAAAATGCTTTTGTTCACATGTAGTTAAGTTATCAATAAATATATGTGGTTGTTCGCGCCTTATAAACGCAAATCTTTCTCCGACTCTCGAAACATTCATAACTGTTCTGTTTCATATCCTAACGTAAACAAAGCAATTTCTAAAGAATTGATGGATTTTTATTTATTAGTACGACAGATTTTGTTGTTTAAACGCTATTTTAATGGATAACAAAAATGAAGTAGACTCTCCGTTTATTTATTAACCTGTATACATTTTTTTTGTCTACAGGCCTGAATATTCTTGAAATATTATTAAAGAACAATTCGCTCATGTGTGAAGAAAGGGAAAAAAGGTTGAATATTATGAGCATTGGTTAAAGCTAGGAAAATAGAGAAACTAACGCATTTTTAAAAAAAAATCTGATAAGCAGAAACGTGTAATTTAAGAAATGCCCGATAGAGTAATGGATAGTGGCACGGACTGAGAAAGCCGAGTTCGAATTCCAGCCAAGTTCATTAGATTTACTTACGCGCTAATACCTTTAGGACAGGTACGAATCCATCATCCCAGCTATAAGGAAATAGCGGACAGACTGAGGTAGCAATGTGATAGTGTAACTTAAGCAAAGGAGTACGTAAAACCTACGGCTTCACTTAGTTTGGAACAAGCCAATTATTATGTGTTATTTATTGTCGATCGAACTTTCTCCTTTGTAGTTATGTTCAACAAGATTAGTTCGCTGTCCATTATTCCACGTCGAGGCGCCCACAGGTCTCGGTGTATTTGTTTACAGTGAAATGTTTTCTCTGATGGCTTCAAGTTCTTCCTATTCAACCTCTCTTGCTCTGACACATATTCTGCGGTTACTTAGACATATCAGCTTGCATGATTTTTTTTTATGATTGACCATCTCTGGTTGCTATAAACGCAATCCATCAGAATTTTTGACAGGTGAGTATTACAGGTATTGACTGACAGCAGACATATTTCGTACAGTTGTAATCATGTCGAATTCTAACGGTTTGCTATTCATGACTGGTTATCTGACAGCAGCAAATAGGCCAAGAGATGCGGATGAACGAAATTCCACATTAAGCTGGCACAGGTTTCTTTATAATAGTTCCTCATTCTTTTCAAGAGAATCTGTTCATATCCAATCATTATTTCTTCCTGCGAAATGAAACAATATCTATAAGTTTACACTATTTACATTGTTCAAACTCTTGTCCTAAACTTTGTTGCTATATTCACAGCATTTCGACCGTTGTACGCTCTGGCCTTCTTCAGGAGATTAGAATTTCGAACTGAACCAGTGTAAATAATTGCAGTACATTATCTCAGAAAGATAAACAAATAATATATATATATATATATATATATATATATATATATATATATATATGAAAAGTGTATATAAATATAAATAAATATATATATATGTATATTTATATATTATATGCATAATTACTTATTAGAAAGCGCTCAATATCAGAGATAGAGCTAACATATTTGGTTGGATAGAGTTTGTCTGACGATCGCTAAAGCGTGAAACCCAGGGTCACAAACTCATCTATCAACCAAATATATATATATATATATATATATATATATATATATATATATATATATATATATATATATATGTACGTTTTCGAACTAATCATTATATTCTTTGTTTGACATGATTATTTTTAAATTTATTATTATTTAAAGAGGCACAGTGGATTAATGGATAGCCGCTCGGATTGAGGAAGAGCTGAGTTCGAATTCCAGTGGAATCCATTACATTCACTTACGTGCTG